AGTAAGGAGATGGGGGAATTGTTAAGCCTGCATTATATGCTTATTCTACCTGCTTATCAAAAATGCTAGGGGTAATAAGATGTGGCTATCTGGTATTCTGTACTGTTAATCTTTTATGAAAGATTATTTATTTTTGGAGTGTGTGTGTGTGTGTGTGTGTGAGAGAGAGAGAGAGATGTTTTGTAGTGCTTACCTGCAACACCTACTTGATGAGTGGCATAAACTGGTAGTCTGCTACATCCTTCTGCTAACCAGAGAGCCAGAGTAGCTGAGTCTGATTCTGCATGGTGAAAAGTAAAGCCTTCCTGTGCAGCAGTAGCTATAAATCTGCTTTGCAGAATAGGGACATGCAGCCATACTGCTATGTGGCCTTCTGCTCGCCATTGCTTGATAGCACCTAAAGAAGAAAAATACAGCATAAGGTGTTGATGTCTGTGCTAAACATGGTAATCAGTGGTTGGCTGTCTGCCTTTTTATTTCTCTCATACTGTTTTAACAGTTGAGAAAAAAAAGCTAGTCTAAATTTCCTCAGCCTACGATATGACGAGATGCAACTCCTAAGACACAATTTGAAAACTCTCTGTATTTGAGTTCTAATCTAGATTTTGTTTGCTTTGCATAACCCTTTGTTTTGGGGTGGAGTCAGAGTGACTGAGTGGAGCTGAGCATTTACTGGCTGGATGCCCTTCCTGATGCCTACATGGAGTTCACAGTAGATTTTCTTTTGGTGCCCTGATAGAAAAACATCTGCTGCTGCCTAGGATCAAACTCTCAACCTTCTGAGTGGGAAGCAAACTTCTTCATCTCTAGGCCACCTTGTTGCCACTCATTTAATCTATAAACCAAATAGAAAACAGCTGATTATATAGATGATGTTTGATCTGAAATCTGCTTTTAAATGATTTAAATAATTCATGTATTCAATTATAATTTTTTGTAAAACATTTTAGGATTTAGTTATAGTAGATATTCTCAGTGGAAAGAGAATGGGGAAAGAAACAGCACTTGGCCACAAGATCATTCACACGTTTTGTTCTGAAAATTGCCTCCGGGGCAGTTTTAACAGGGAAATTTGGGGAGAGGGAGAGGGATTCTGTAGGTATTGGAATACACTGGGGGTTTTTCTTCTTCTTTTCTCTATCTATTCTGCCGTGGAACCTGCGGAGCCCTCAGAAAAGCTGCGAGCGGAGAGACCCCTCGGGGCCACTCGTCTTTGGTTCGACTGTGCTCTGTCCTCTGTCTCCCCACAAGCTTCCAGCAAAAGGCACTTGCCCTGTAGCCAGCGCCCAAAGGCGGCTTGATCCAGGCTCTCAGGAGAGCGCAGCTGAGCCAGGTGTAAGTTCACTCCGCCGAACTTATCCCGTCGCGCCCTCAACTCTGTTTCGGCCCCGCAGACGCGTCGGTGACTGCTCACGCCGCCCCGGAGTTCGGGCAGCGGCAGGAGCCGCCAGCACCACGAAAACAAACGCTGGCTGAAGGAGGACCAAGCAGCCCAGTCAGGCATGGCGGCCGCGTTGCTCCTGCAAAGGAACGCGGCGAGAAAAGACGTAGAGTTACTCACAAACTGGACTTCCGTGCGGCTGCTCCACTTGGAAAACGTGGCTCAGTCAAGGCTTTACGTACAGTTCCAAATTTCTTTCCACTCGCTACCGTGGAAAAGATACTCTGTACACGGGATGGGCGGCCGTATGGATTTAATAAATACATTTCATAGTAAAATAAATTATATCAGAGTTCGGTGTTCAGTTTCTGATCTCTGAAATCTGAGATGCATCAGATTTAGGTTCCATTTTCCAGTCTAGGAATTCTGGGAATTGAAGTTCAACACTTCTACACAGTGCCAGACTAAAAAAAAAGATATTTGTTGTGGCACTTATATTTGGTCTTAGATCTTACAATATTTGTTACTTCCTTCAAAACTTCTATATACTATTATATTTATATATTATTTATTTATGATGGGAACATGACAGAAGTAAACATATAAATACAGTCCATGTAATTAGAAGTAAAACTTTCATGGGGGTATGGCAGTGGCCTTATAACTGGATTCCAATTCAGCTACCCAAGCGATCACCTCTGGGGTTGCTTCATATGCATGTTTTAGGGAACCAGCGAATGCACATTGTGGGCAATCTTGCACAAATAGAATTATAATAAGAGAGTTGGAAGGGACCTTGGAGGTCTTCTAGTCCAACCTCCTACTTATCCAATCTCTTCTTTAAAAACCTCCAGTGTTAGAACATTTAAAACTTATGGAGGCAAGTTATTTCACTGATTAATTGTTCTGTCAGGAATTTTCTCCTTAGTTCCAGGTTGCTTCTCTCTTTGATTAGTTTTCAACCATTGCTTCTTGTTTTACCCTCGAGTGCTTTGGAGAATAGTTTGTCTCCCTCTTCTTTGTGGCAGCCCCTGAGATATTGGAACACTGCTACCATGTCTCCCCTAGTCCTTCTTTTCATTAAACTAGACAAACCCAGTTCCTGCAACCGTTCTTTATGTTTTAGCCCCCGGTCCCCTAATCATCTTTGTTGCTCTTCTCTGCACTCTTTCTAGAGTCTCCACATCATGTTTACATCGTGGTAACCAAAACTAGATGCAGTGTTTAAAGCGTGGCCTTACCAAGGCATTATAAAGTGGTATTAACACTTCTCGTGATCTTGATTTCATCCCTCTGCTTATGCAGCCTAGAACTGTGTTGGCTTTTTGGGCAGCTGCAGCACACTGCTGGCTCATATTTAAATGGTTGTCCACTAGGACTCCAAGATCCCTTTCACAGTTACTACTGTTGAGCAAGTTGTCACCTGTATTGTACCTGTGCATTTCGTTTTTCTTGCCTAAATGTAGAACCATACTTTTTTCACCATTGAATTTCATTTTGTTAGATATTGCCCAATATTCAAGTCTGTCAAGATCCTTCTGTATCTTAAGCCTATCTTCCGGAGTGTTGGCTATTACAGAGTGTTATTCTGGAATGTTGGTTACAATATGTTTAAAAGTCGGCATATTAGCACCACACTCGCAACAAGGGGAATCTTTCCATCCCCATTGATAGTAGGATGGAGGCATGTCTTCCAGTATCGCACCTAATTCTGTTCAATTTTGATCAGAGCAAAGCAGGTCAAAACCAGGTGAGGGATACTAATGGTGAGGCCACAAGAAAGTGAATAGGTGTTTTCCAAGCTAGCCTAGGGAATTTTAATCTTGTGATGGACTGCGCATTGTCCTGGTAAATAGGGAGCCTTGTTGTTCAGCATCCTTAATCTTAGCCAAATGGCAGCTTGTTTTTTAATGTGGGCCAGTATGAGATTGACAACCAGTGCACAGGAAAGGGATGCAATGTGCCAGAAATGATACACATTGTCTGGTGGAGTTGGATATCAATCATTTGGGTGTGAGTGGTATTAAACCACACACTGGCATTCAGCTGCAGAATAAACCAAAGCCAAGACTGTTGTTCGTAGGATGTTCTTCTCTATATTGATATTGCCATAATATATATTGATATTGCTAGAAAATATATTGATATTGCCAGAGTCTGTATTTGAAAATAATACAGACTAATATTACAAATAGGATAATCAGTTGTACTTTTAAATTTGTGCGCTGTCCTTTTAACACAGACAGAATGAAAAGAATATGTGGGCCCAGAGTTAAACTGCTGATTCTTTGCTGCCCTCTGAGCTGCCTTGTTTGCAGACATTTCATTACCTGACTGGGTAATATCATCAGCGTAATTAGGTAATGAAACGTCAGCAAGCAAACAGCAGCTCAGAGAGCACCAAGCCCTCCACACATGATGGAAATTTTCTGCTATGATGCCTGTTTTATATAATTCTAATAAGCAATATAATAACAGACTGAAAAAGAGACCCGAACCTTAAACAAATGCCTCAGAATGCTGATGAAATTTATCAGAATCGAATTATGGGGAAATATTTAGGTTAAATTAATTTTGAGTAAATATTTAAAATTGAGGCTGTGATTGAACATCCACTAATCTGAAATTTGTTTCAGTGAGTGTACAGTATATGATTACACTCTAAAACGTAATCTAATACTAAGAAGACTAAGACTGTATTACTATTATTTTTATCTTCCTTCCTAGTACTTATCTCTTTCCACTTATGACTGTCATCATGTTGCTTGTATCTTTAAAATTTATATTGTTTTGTTTGTTATTAGTATTTGTTTTGATTGATTATTAGTAATCTGGGACTATCATTAAGTGTTGTATCTTGATTCTTGATTAATGTATTCTATTTTATTTTCTTTATGTACACTAAGCGTATATGCACCAAAGACAAATTCCTTGTGTACCCAATCACTCTTGGCCAATAAAGAATTCTCTTCTCTTCTCTTTTCCATTCCACTCCATTCTATTCCATTCTAATTCCATTCCATTCTGTCAAGGTTAACTAGAAACAAATTCCACAAAAAAGAGAGTAGCTAATCATTTCATTTAATACGCTGAGTTTACGATTTTATCACCTACAATTATTTAAAGTTATATCTTCTGCATGGGTAGCCGAATAAACAGTTTAATCAGGAAGTGACTAAACGAAAATAACAGCATTGCAAATCAGACCCCTATTGGGGAGAATAAAGCGAAGGCGCCCAGAGAACCTGCATTTCGAAAAGACTTCCGGCATTACATTGAACATAGCCAACTATAAGTTATCCATAGAGATACATTTTAGAACAACATCCGCTCCGTGCTACTGAGCATCTCTAGACTCTTAAAAATGAAGAGTGATATTCGGTGTAACTTCCTAAAAAATAAAAGCACATTAGTATTAGATTTTTTTTTTACGGTTGTGATCAATTTGACTTTTAAAAAAACGCCTCGAGGAGACAGGCGTTTTTTTTAGCGCTTGAAAATTATTTTCTCAATACTGTAATAACTGCATAGGCGGTCTTGAATCGATGTTCTCTAACTCTTTAATATCTCTTCGAGCGCATTTTGTCTTCCGGGGAAGAAGCCGCGCTCGTGGTCCAAATACCAGTAAAGCGGCGCTGCTTCCGCCTTTCCAGCGTCTTCCCTGAATTCTTGCAATGTCCTCTTCCAGCAAGAGGAAAAGCAAGAAACGGCCTCCTTCGGAAAAGGACTCGGCTCTCGACGAACGAGATGCAGCCCAAGAAGCCCTCGGTTGGCAGAGTTTGTCGGTTGCAGACTTTTTGGACAAGGGTAGGATGCTGGTAGCGTGCGCGGGTTCTCGGGGATCGTTCATGCTCTCAACAAGCCTGTAAGGTAGGCTAGGTTGGGAAAGCAATCTAAACACCGTATAGGACGGTCACTGGTTGTTGCGACAGAAACACGTGGCTCTTGCAATATTCTTACAGCATCAATCCATCACAAATAGATGTTATCTTAAGAGATAACTGCATTATACGGAAATACACCTAGTAGTTTATTCCTTTGAACGTGTAGAATTGGGAATCAAAATTCTGGCAATCCCAGTCCAAATCAAACACTATTAAGGCACAGAGGCTCCCAAATGCAGTTTGTATGTTTGTGATCATCCTTTTTCTTTTGCAATGTTCAATATAAAACTGTTATTTTTAAAAATTTCTGTGTTGAATGTTGCAGGTATCTGGAACTACATGAGATGGAATCAATTTAAAATGTTTTAGTAGGAATTTAGGACAAATGTAGATCTCATCCTCACTACCTGTCGGGAAAGCCAGAATTGCTTTGCTAGAGAGCCTCAGACTGTTGTATTCAACTGAATACAATTTCAGTTCAGGACTACGTAGCTTAAAGTTGTAATTAGCTGCTCCCATTTTGTTGTTATAATTTTTCCAAAACAGATCATGCCATGTGAATTTTCTGTAATTTCACAGTTATGGAATGTCACAGTTGGGGGCTAGGATATGCTAAATTCCTTCTGCCTGCTTAGGTAGTTTCAAGCATCTCTCCTGCCTTTCCATCCAGTTGTTGGGTAGTACTCTGTATGGCAATTTTGACTTGAACTAGTTTGTGACAAGGCTCCTGGCTCCAACATAATATACCTGTCTGCATAATGTCTACCATATAGTGATCTTTTGGAAGATACTATATCTGTCTTTAAAAGAGGGGGGGGGGAGTTGGATTCTACACCAGTGTGCTCTTGTTGCCCAATGAATACATTATAGGTTTTCAACTGCTGTTAATTCAAGTAAATTCATACAGCTATACTTGTTATAGTTATTCATTTGAGGCTTGATGCAGTTCTTTTTCTTACTACTCTGCCATCTAGTGTACTTCCATGGACCATTTTGGGTGCATTAACTTTCAACATTTAACTAATTGCTTACATTATGTAATGTAAAATGCAGAAATATAATGAATGTGCAGAGCTGATTTTCTTTTCTCCTCAAACTAATATTTTCAGGACAGCATAAAATAGAACTTTAGTAGATGGGCACGGGCAATGTTTGTTTAACATGGGCAATGTTTGTTTAACATCAGAATGTTGTCGTTCTTGCAACAGTTAATTGAATGGCCCAAACATGGTTTATGTTCTAAATCAAAGATATCATATTGCTTATCATGTTCTGTTCTTATATTGACTGTGGGAAGATAATCTTCCCTTTATTCTTAATGATTTTAGATCAACCAAATGATACGTACACGCATAATTGTATTTTTCTCTTTAATTTTAGATGATGACAAAGTCCCCAAAATATACAGAGGATCTTTTGTGCAATTGGCACTCAACACCATGAAGCTGGCAAATATTTGCATAGGGCGTCCAGTGCTGCTTACCAATACAAACGGAAAACAAGAGGTAGTGTTTGTTTTCTTATCAATTCTATGTGTATTTATGCATGTAGGGGGTTTGTTTATGTAATGGTGTATTTTATTTTCCTTGAAAGGGACAACACTAGATGGATTATTTTATAGCTATATTTTCTATTGTTTTGGTTAGGTTTGCACAGCATGGCCTGTTGCAGGCTTCCCTGGTAAAAAAATTGGCTTAAGTGCAATTACACAGAAGAACCTGAAAGTGGTACCCGGTGATACGATCATGATCCAGCCTGTGACTGGTGCTGTACTTCAGGCAGAGGAAGTGGAAGTAAAGCTAGGGTATGTTGATATCCACGCATATTACCTATGGTCAGATTTCCAATTTATTGTGACTGAGTGAATTTTGTGATGAAGGGGTTTCATGTGATCATAATGAAATGTATTTTAAAGACCTTAGGTTTCCTCATATTTAAAACTGTGGCATTGCATGCCAGGACGTTTACACTGCTTCACATCTGATTTCTGGAACAGAAATTTGGAACGTGTGGAGAGCACAATTGTAGCACTTTAAAGCAGTTTGTCTTTTCTTTAGATCTTATGGTGGATATGAAGAACATGTATATTTATGCTATGCACCTTCTTTCTTATTCCCCAGAATATCTTTATAACTGAAACCTGAATTGCTGAATAAATTAAGTACATTACACGTAGTGTATTTCTGTAAAGTGTAATTCCTTCGGAAAGCTTAGATTACAGACACTTTACTCTTAAAGCTGTTGTAAGGAATTTGAATGCTTCTCATTTATTTGTAAAATGTATTTGCCACCCATCTCACACTTTAGATGACTGAATGGAATTCTCATTTCAATCGTTTGGATTATCTGTAATTAACTAACTTTGTACTGTGTTGTGTAGAGAACCATAGTATGGGGGTTCAAGGATTGGTGATATGAAAGTGTTCTTGTGAATCTAATATCAAGTAAAAATATCACTGGCTATAAACCATATGAAACAAGGACCAAGATTTATTTAAAAGTAAGGCTTCAATCTGTAAAATAGTTCATATAATTCTAGGACTGTAAGTAACAAGATAAAAAGGAAGAAATTTAATGAATGAGATGTTCATTTAAAATCTCTTAGGATTCGTGCATTCTGAGTTTGAAGGAGACAAATTAACAGAGTCTCATATCTCATGGGTCTTCTGCTAGATTAACATTGCTATTTGACTGTTGAAGAATGATATTATTTTCTCCATTTGCTTCCTGGATGTTTTTTTTAATTTCTCACATTGCGCAAAATCACTAGATTCCCCCCTCCCCTTTTATATCTTTGGTTTTCATCTTTAGAATCTCCCCAGATAATGCTTCCAAAATTCTCTTGAGAAATTTCTAGCCCTTAATGACATATCCCAAGATGGGAACATTATATAAAAGTAATTTGGTTGCAGCAGAGGCTGTCTTGGAAAGAAAATAAGCAGAAGTGAATAAGTGAAATATTTACTGGTCTTTTTGGAATGTCAGGAAAAGAAGAAGCATCAATATAAGAATATTGACAAAATTTATATTGCTGATTTCAGATTGGCTAGATATTTACCCAGAATTACTATTGTAGGTAGGTAGGTAGATAGGTAGGTAGGTAGGTAGTAGGTAGATAATTTTTACGTTTAGTGCACTCCATACTGATGTTAGCTTAATAATTTCTATTATACAAAATATTTTTAAGGCTTGGACTTAAGAGTCTATGCATTGAATTGGCAGAGACTGCATAGCAGTAGTTTCTATGAGCCCATGTAGTGATGCTAAGAACCAGTATAACAAACTTCTGCATGAGAATTGCTGTCGGAAGTAACTTTTGCAGGAACCTAATTTATTTCTTATATTGGAGTACATTTGATGTTCTTGAAATAATGATATTTATTAAATTTTAACAACAATTATTTTTTTCTTTCTTAGGGTTAAAGATGACTGTATCAGTACTGAAGACTTGTCCATTAGCCTCTTAAGAAATTTAGGTATGTGTTTAGTTTAGGTTTTCTGGTTTATATTATACTTTTACATGTTAAATACATATAAATTTCTGTCTGTCCTGTAGTCAAACATCTTGGATTTCTGAGTTTTACGGAGATCCAGTACAATCACTCTGGATTAAGAGAATCAAGAATAGAGAAAAATGCTGCATTTGAAACTTTATAACTATCTAATTTGAAGATGCTGCCTTTTAAAAATGCATAGAATATTCTCTTAAGAAGGAAAGTGCTATTCAAAAATAGGTTGTTCTGACCTCAAAACAGGCTTATTGTCACAATAAATTAATTTTGGATGCTAAAAGCAAGTATAAGAGTAGGATATGATATCCCCATTTTGATTTCAGTTATTCTAAAGAACTGACTATTATTTTATTGTTAAAGCTTACCAAGACTATAGAAAATACAACCTTTTCTAAAATTTGAGAACTGGCAATTAGATCACCAAGATCATTGCTTTTGTTTTGAAAATTATTATATTTCTTTATGTATGGCTACCGTGTTTCCCCCAAAATACGACATGTCCTCATAATACAGCCATGTCACATTTTTCTGGTGGGCAAAAATATAAGCCCCCCCCCACATATAAGTCCCCTGGACAACCCCCCACCTCCGGCCAGGACAGAGCACCGCTCACCAACCTAGCAGTATCCCGAAGGTGCCAAGCTGCGGGAACCTGGGGGAAGGCAAAGGTGATCGCATTGCTTGGCACCTTCCGGATACCACTAGGTTGGTGAGCAGTGCTGTGCCCAGCTGAAGAGGGGGGTTGCTGGGCGGCAGCTCTCTTGTCGCAGCAGCGCAACACAACAGCCATGAAGCAACCACACTCACGAGCAGCCACCCGGCAAAACCCCTTTGCAGCTGGGCACAACGCTATTCACTGATCTAGGGGAATTGCCAAGCCACGCGAGCTCCTGTTCGCCGCTGCCCGGTTCCCGCGGCTTGGCGCCTTCCAAATGCCAGTGAATGAAACTCTGCACAGCTGGAGAGGGGGGTTGCGCGAGCGGCTGTTCCGCTCTCGCTCACCCACCTCTCGGCCTCAGGATGCATGACCCAGCTCTCATTATGGAGCCAGGGCACCTCCACCGCCACCGCCATCCCAGCCTGACTTTTTCCACGGCTTCCAACCCGAGTCTTTCGGCAGTGGCCACTCTGGGCGTATGCTCTATGGCTGTACGCTCTGCAGGCAACTGGCCCACAACCATAGAGCATGCGCCCAGAGCAGCCACTACCGAAAGACTCGGGTTGGAAGCCGCGGAAAAAGCCAGGCTGGGATGGCAGCAGCGGCGGAGGTGCCCTGGTTCCATAATGAGAACGCCATTCACTGGCATTTGGAAACCGCCAAACCATGGGAGCCGGGCCGCGGCAAACAGACGCTCACGCGGTTTGTCGATACCCCTAGGTCAGTGAATGGCACTGTCCCTGGCTGCAAAGGGGGTTTGCCGGGTGGCTGCTCGTGAGTGTGGTCGCTTCATGACT